TTGCTTTTTTTTCATAATTAAAGTGTCCATAAGGCCAAACGTACACGTTTCTAGTTTATTGTTCCACTCACTCATAAATTCTAGATCATCTTGATCTGAAGTGGGTAGTTTCATGAGTCTTAGGCCTCAAGGTGTTATGCGCTCATCAATATATTTTTTTAAAAGTGGCGATCTTCCATTTAAGTTTGATTTCAGCTGTTATTAACAGCTCTTTCTAATTTGATAAATAGTTCTTGTTGGGTAAAAGTGGGAGGCCTGACATAGATGGGACTAGTAGGTTGAGTAGAGAATACATTTTCTATATCAATAGAGTGATTACTTCTATAGGGAAAAATCGACATATTAAAAGCAGTTAAAACCAGAGGGATATTGGTAAAACACAGTGAAAAAACAAGGAAGGAGGTTAGCGCTAATAATAACAAGGTGGATAGGCAGCGGCCTAGCAGAGGGTAACCCTCTGATCCTCTGGTAAGAATGAGAAACAACAACAATAGTAATGCAAGGCTGAGCCAAAATGTATCAATGAGGACTAAAAGTAGTAAAAAGACAAATGGTAAAAAGACATATAAATAAAACTTATAAGAGTTATACAATAGTCCAAAAGGATTATAGAAGTTGCACTGTGGCAATAAATGTCTTTTAAGGTGCTTTTTATGATGGGGTCTCTTCTCTGTTTATAGTAGTCCTGTTGTTCTCGTGATAGGGAAGAAACAAGAAAAAAAGACCAATCGTGTAGAGTGTAAGAGTCAATATATGTGAGATAAGGATATAAATATTCCACTCACATTTAGATGAGCTATAGCCAGCTCAGGTATAACAGGCAGGGCCTGGGAGATAGTTTGAGACAGGGCTGATGACATGGAACCCATGGCTGCAATAATGGCATCCATCACTGAGCACTGTAGTGCTGAAGCCTGAGTTGGCATGGCCAGACAAGTTCACCAATAGGAGCGGGGAGCTCGAGATAGCAGGGATCTCCTCTAGGGCCAGTGAGTTATACATCTCCCCAGGGGTAGGTGAACAGGCAGGCACCCTAGGTTTAGGCATAATAAAATGAAAGATTGGCACCTAAACAACTGCAAAGTAACCAGAACAGTAAGGTTTAATCACCCAAACTAAACAATCCTGGGAAAGGTAAATAGGAAAGATCTCACCAGGGCCCAGACAAGCAGTAACTACAGGAGGCAGGCAAGGCACAGACAAAGGAGGGGGAGGAGAAAAAAGTTTGAAAAAACAGTCCCTAAAGCTTGCGAGAGTCACGGCAGGCAAAAACCCAGCGAACGCGGCTAAAACTACAGAACGTACACGTTGGCTCGCTAACAAAGCGCATTTGCAGGCAGAATTCCTCCAGCAAGGCAAAACACTCGAACGGGCCAAAACAGCCGAACATTCGGATACAAGTCTGCGATCGCAAAATAGCGTTCACAAACCATACGCTGCCACGAAACCAGAGCCCCTGACATTTGCGCGAGTCAACTGCTGACCGCCAGCCCCACATTGGCTAAACGGAGCTGAACAGGGATGCGAAAAAGGGTGCCAAAAATGGCCTGGGACCCCAGGGAGCCCCAAAACAGAGGGGACACAAGGGGAATACAAAAAGAAACAGGATGTGAGCAGAACCAGAAGCCAAGTAAGGACAAAAGACAGAGAAAAAACAAAAAAGGACAGGGGTGCAGCAAAGACCCCCAACATTACAGGGAAAAAGCCATCAGCTGGTCTGGGACTCTGAGTCTACCTCACCAGTCAAATGGCTATGTTTTGAGTTACTAGGTTAAACATACATGAAAATGGTAGCCAGACCATTTAATTGATATTACGTGGTCTGGGTGCCTATAAAGTCCCTTTAATTGCTTGACTTCTTAATTTAAGAGTATAAAAAAGCTATGAATAATGCCTCCCTACACCCCAAGTAATTGAAATGTATTACACCATGTAGATTAACTAGCACAATAAACTGTAGAGAAATGCAGAGCTTGCATTATTTTGTAAAACAGTACAACATAAAGAAACATTCTTGCACAACCTTACACCTACTGCAGCTTATCTCTATTAGGGATTTTCATTAAAGTGACACTACATCTTAGACCAAATCAGCAGAATTAAAAGCGTAGCTGAAAAGTTTTTTTTTTTTTTTTTTTTACAATTATTTTGACATTAAATTTCACTTTAAATTCTCAACAAATCACACTGTAGTGAATATCCATGTAAATGTTACTGCATGTGGAGTTTGCGACAGGCATGGCTGTATGTTTTTAGCTGTTCGCATGTTAAAAATAAATAAAAGAAAAATGGCTGGAGCATGGGTGACCATCTGAGATTCAGATTTAAAGAAGAATTTAAATAAACAATGTCTTCTCCACAAAACAAATGATTAAACACAATGTATTCTACTTTTGGAAGGGGTAGACAAATATTATGTGGACATGTAAAGCTCTTAATCATAGGCTCCACATATTAAATGCAGCTCCTGGTTTCCTGGTAACCAGCAAACTCCTCATTCTGCTGTCCTGTCTGCCTGAAGCTGTAGTAACATTTGCTTTAACGAGGCTGGTACAGATGCAGCATTCTTACTATTCAAGATTTAGAATGGAAGAAAGATACAAAATAGAAAGCTGCATATGGAGACTTATTATTGTGTATTTGAGTGTGATACACAATTTTATGGATATTTAACAGGCATTATAGCGGTCACTTACCTTGAGAAAGCTCTGGATGTGCCCGCTCACAAAACTCCTGCTGAGGTCCATGATAATGACCGAAAGATGATGATGACCAAATTACAGTTGAATGTTATACTAGATGAATCCACTGATTTACCGTATTTTTCGCACCATAAGACGCACCTCACCATAAGACGCACCTAGTTTTTAGAGGAGGAAACCCAGAAAAAAAAAATATTCTGAACAAACTGTTCCATAGTGTTTCTTACCATGGAACAGTTTGCTCGGAATATTTTTTTTCTCCCCTGTCCCATAATGATCTTTAACCCCCCTTTCCTCTGTCCCATAGTGATTGTTAACCCCTCCTCCCCTGTCCCATAGTGATTGTTAACCCCCTCTACCCTGTCCCATAGTGTTCTTTAACCCCTCCTCCCCTTGTCCATTAGTGTTCTGATCCCATAGTGTCCCCCCCTCCCATTGTCCCATAATGAGCTTTCCCTCCCATAGTGTCCCCCCCTCCCATTGTCCCATAGTGCACTTTACCTCCCATAGTGTGTCCCCCCCATTGTCCCATAGTGCACTTTCCCTCCCATAGTGTCTCCCTCCCCCATTGTCTCCCCTCCCTTGTCCCATAGTGTCTCCCTCCCTTCTCCCATAGTGTCCCCTCCTTCTCCCATAGTGTCTCCCCCTCCCTTTCTCCCATAGTGTCTCTCCCTCCCTTTCTCCCATAGTGTCTCCCCCTTGTCCCATTTTAATCATGATTAAACAATGTAGATACTATAAGATAACAGTTCTCTGGTCATACGGATAAATAAGCAGCTACATATATGCCATAGTGTCTGCTGTAACTAATGTGAATCATAAATCTCCCTCCCCTTGTCCCATAGTGTCTCCCCCTCCCCTTGTCCCATAGTGTCTCCCCCTCCCCTTGTCCCATAGTGTCTCCCCCTCCCCTTGTCCCATAGTGTCTCCCCCCCTTGGTGTCCCATAGTGTCTCCCCTGTCCCTTGTCCCATAGTGTCTCCCCTGCCCTTGTCCCATAGTGTCTCCCCCTGCCCTTGTCCCATAGTGTCTCCCCCTCCCCTTGTCCCATAGTGTCTCCCTCTCCCCTTGTCCCACAGTGTCTCCCTCTCCCCTTGTCCCATAGTGTCTCCCTCTCCCCTTGTCCCATAATTACTTACCTGTCTTGGAGCGTGGGCCAGCTTCACAGCGCGCTCCGCGGTGCAGGAACTGCAATTTCAGGTTCCGGTTTCTGGCGGGACTGAAAGGAAGTGTGCACACTGAGTGTGCACTTCCTTTCAGTCCCGCCGGAAACCGGAACCTGAAACTGAAGTTCCTGCACCGCGGAGCGCGCTGTGAAGCTGGCCCACGCTCCAAGACAGGTAAGTAAATCTTCACATTCGCTCCATAGGATGCACAGACATTTCCCCTCACTTTTGAGGGGGAAAAAAGTGCGTCTTATGGAGCGAAAAATACGGTACTATTCACATATTGCAGTTTATAGATTTTACCCTTACATTCTCTTTGATATTGATTTTGACCATGAATATCCTGTTCCCTGCACTACTTGACTCAACTGCTTCTTTTTGTTCCCATTCTCAGTAGTCCTTAACCAAGACAGTCAATTTGCTACACTCAGCTTTCCTTTAACTATATATGCCTTTCTGAGATCTATTTACATTAAAGCACACTATCTAAAATTTGGGAATATGCTCAGTCACTGCTCATGTAACTCTTTTTTAGACCTAATTAATATGGTGGATGTTGCACCTCATCGTTAACAAAGCCACATAAAGAGCAATTAGTTTACATTCTCCAGGCACTGCATTCCAAGCATGTTCACAATAAAAAGGAGCATGCATGTTTTCTAAAGTGTTCCTAATTTGTATCAGATTGAGGACTTACTTGTAATCCAGCACCAACTAAAGTCTCCTTGCAAAAGGAGATGATGCTTAATGATCTATGGTCCAATCAAGTACTTATCAAGCTTCGTGGACCTATGGTGTATGTGTGGTAATCAATGCACTCCAGCGCTATTCATAGATACATTAAATACATTGTCTCTCTATGAGAAGCATTAGCCGTGTTTTGCGTCATCATGTTGTGAGTGATGACTCTGGACATTAAGACCTTTTAAAAGTCTTAATGAGAATATGCCTATAATGCCGTCAGTCTCGCGGGTACAAAAGGCATGTTTTAAGTGAAATGTAAACAATGCTGTTTCTAAGAAATGGCAGGGCTTTACAATGTCAGAGAAAAATGACATTTATGCAACAAATCCATTACATAAAAATATAGTGGTTTGGGTGTCTTACTGTTCTGTACTTTTTAATAGATGAAAGGGTGAACAGATTACAAAGTGGAAAATAAGGCAAATAGGACATAAATCCTTTAATTGTTTTTCTTCATATTACAAGACAATCCTGCCTAATCAGTGTAGTAACTGCATACCAAACTATAAGGCACCACATATACCAGACCCTTGAGTGAGGCGTTAAAACTTGAATAATAAGCAAAGACTTTATTTAAACTTATATAGTTTAGAAATTACAATATAGCAAAATGTACATAAGCATAAAGAAACACATTTAAAAAATGTAAGCCTTACTAGGTGGTAAGAAACGGCTAATTAAAAAATCTGTAGAAACAATGATTTGGAGAATTCCTCACTTCAATTGTGAGAACCAGCAGATAGGAATACAAACATTTTAAAAAGGCAAAAAAAAAGCAAAATCTTTTCATGAGCAAGTCACTCTTTGTCACCGGTAGATAATAAAGGTGCAATTTACACCTACACAGATACACAGATCATTTGTGTGACATGTAACAGAAACAAAAAAAATAAACCAATAAAGAAAAAACTTCAAAATGTGCTATAATAAAAAATTTATAGTGCACTTAATATATGTATGTATTATTTATAATAACTTTGGGTAATAATTTAAATGTCACTGTAAACAACAGATTCTACAGTTTGTTTCCTTAAACAAGAAATGTTGTTTAGGAGTCAAAAATACAGCAAACAGAAATGAAATCTTTACCTACAGTATATTACTTCAAGCCTGTGGTTACAGGAGCACTATTGCTCGATAGTTAGGAGCTGGAGAATTATTTTTGATCACATGCATGAAAATACATTAACAGGCAATGTGCAGCTGGTTAGTTTGCTGTTTTCTTCCTCTTAATATGTATATATTTGAAAGGATATATACAGTATAATGCGCAAACAGATTTGAGAGAAACATATTAGTACACAAGTCTTACTCCAGTTCTGGACAAAAGTTTGAGATAGTAACAAGGAACACGGGCAGTTTCCAGAAAGCCATTTACAATGTTATATTAATCAAACAAACATTAAAAGCCTTGATAAATTTAGGACATCGATTACCTTAGAAAGGTAAAAGTGATATTTGAACCTACTTCTCCACCCACCATGACTTGGCCTTAAAAAACAAGAACAAATAGGAGCCTTGAGAAGAGCATTTCATAAGTAGAGTAACGATTCTGGATAAAGCTCCTGATGACACCTCAGGATTGTCAAACCAGACTGATGGAGTAAATCTAGTGTTGGAATTTAGTCAATGGTTGTTGGCTTGGTCTCTATACAACTTCCACTTCTATGGCAAATTCTGCAGCTTTCGCATTCTTGTCCTTGTTTGAACATGATGCACTGTGAATGGATGGAGAAAAAAAAGCATTACTTGGGACATTTAAAGTAACACTATAGAATCAGGAACACAAATAAAGTATTCCTAAAACCATAATCTAGCCCCCTCTACCTCTGTCCTTGCCTCCCTATAGTAAAATCTTACTTGTTTTCAAGCCTGCTGCTGCTGGCTCTGCCTCTGACCTGCCTGAATGTCTGACATCATCAGAAGTGATTATGTGAGCCAATCACAATGCTTTCTCATAGGATTAGCTGAGACTGTGAAAGAGGAAGATCAGGACAGAACCAAACATAGCCCAGACCAATCACTATCTCATCAGATATTAATTAAATCAATGCATCACTATGAGTAAAGTTCAGTGTCTGCATGCAGATTTTGGAGACACTGAATACTGTGCAGCACTGCCCCAGGAAGCACCTCTAGTAGCCATCTGAGGAGTGGCCAGTAGAGTTATAACAAGGCTGTAATGTAAACACTGCATTTTCTCTGAAAAGACAGTGTTTACTGCAAAAAGCCTGAAGGGAATGATTCTACTCACCAGAACAAATAATATAAGTTGTTGTTTTTTTGGTGACCATAGTGTCCCTTTACAGAGTTATTTACTAAAGTGAGAATTCAAAGTGAATTATACGCAAGAGTAGCTGAACTGAAAGCAAGCCCGGACTGGCCATCCGGCATACCCGGCAAATGCCTGGTGGGCCGCGGGCCGGCAGGGGAGATCACAGGCTTTCCCTTGTCGGCCTATGCTATCTGAGCACCGGCCCTGCTGTCTGCCTTCATGGGCCGGTGGGAAGATCCGAGATCTCCCTCACCTTCCCACAGGCAGTCACGTCACATGCGGCCTGCCGGCTGGAGAGGGAGACAGGACGCGGTGGAGCTCTAACCTGCAGCTCCGCCGGGTTCCACTTGTGAGGTCGGAGCGTTGCTGCGGTTACCACAGCAATGCTCATATCTCACAAGAGTGAACTCGAGCCCGGCAGGATAGAGTTTACTCACCACTAGGACCATCAGGGATGGCAGCACGGCCCCCCTCTCCCAGGCAAAAGGTAAGAAGGGGCACACACACACACACACACACACACACACACACACTAGATCCCCTACACACTGCACCACCTACACACACTACATTTCTGACATACAAACTCTGGATCCCCTATGCACACACTACATTCCTTGTAAGCAAACACATACTACATTCTCTAAACCAGCGTTTCCGCGAGAACACAAATGGGGTTCCGCCGTAATTTCTGGAAACAAAATGGCCGCCGCTGATAATAGACGGGCGGTGAGGGAGCACTCTCCCCTGCTCCGCTCCCTCGCGCGCATCGCAGTGATGCTGGAGCCAGAATATGACGTCACTTAGAAAGATCACTGCTCCCTCGCCGCCCGCACACCAGCGGCTCAGCCCAGCAGCCCCACTGGACCCCAGGGTCAGCACGCCAGCTGCTGAGCCCAGCAGCCCCACTGGACCCCAGGGACCGAATACCAGCCGCTCAGCCCAGCAGCCCCACTGGACCCCAGGGACTGCTTGTCAGTGAGATTGTATGTGTGTTTGTCACAGAGTGTATTGGTGTTTGTCAGTGAGTGTGTGTGTGTATGTGTTTGTCAGTGAGAATGTAAATGTGCTCGTCAGTGAGAGTGTACTTGTGTTTGTATGTGTGTCAAAGAGTATGTGTGTTTGTCAGTGAGAGTGTATATGTGTCTGAGTGTGTGACAATGTGTGTATCTGTGTGTCAAGGTTTGTGTATGTGTCATTGTGTTTATCTGAGTGTGTGTGTGTATGTCAGTGTGTGTGTATCTGACACTGTGCATATGTGTCAATACGTGTATCTGAGTGTGTGTATGTGCCAGTGTGTATATCTGTGGGTGCAAGTGTGTGTATATGTAACTGGGTGTATCTGAGTGTGTGTGTTTTTGTGAGTCAAGATGTGTGTATGTGTCACTGTGTGCATCTGAGTGTGTGTATGTGTATCTGAATGTGTGTATCTGTGTGCCACTATGTGCCAGTGTGTGTGTGTGTGTGTGTGTGTGTGTGTGCATCAGATACATACACATACACACAGATACACACACTGGCACATACAAAGACAGATACACACACCTTGACACACAGCGGCACATACAAACACAGATATACACACTTACACACCCCTTGACACACAGATACATACATACACACACACACTGTGTGTCAAGGTGTGTGTATCTGTGTCAGTGTGTGTATCTGTGTTCCACTATGTGGTGTGTATCTGTGTGTCAGATACATATACACACACACAGATACACACACAGGCATATACAAACTTTCTACTTTTACAGGGGGGACAGGGGGATGGAGAGAGTGGGTTCCACAGGAAAAATTTATAGGGAACCCCTGCTCCAAACACACACTCTCTACAACCCCTACACACAGTATGTCACCTATACACACACACACACACACTACAACCTGTATGCACACACTCGCTACATCTCTTATACACACTATGCCCTCTATACACACACACTAACCACACATATTAAACCACTAATACAAATGAAATCGACCTTTTTACAGAATACCACACCACAATCAACTCACTCTACACACGTGCAATCCCACAAGCAGGCTCCAAACACATGCAAGATACGCTTTCCTGGCCCTTTTGTCCTCTGATATCCCACTTTTGGAGACACCAGAGACAAGTTAAAAGCAAACACAGCGCAAGCATGTTATTAAATTTGCGTGTGCTGCGCAGAACAAATACAGGGCCTTTTTCTCATGCTAGAGCTTTTCAGTGGGGCTCTGCACATTAAACCAATATTCTCACTTTAGGAGGAGGCATGCTTGGCATTAGTGATGACAAAACACACCCTCTCCGGCCTCGCCCCCTTCTCAGGGGGCCGCTGTGATTGATAAATGCCTGGGCCAAATTTTTTTCACAGTCCGGCCCTGACTGAAAGCATACCTGACTTACAGAATGTTTACAATTCAGCGAGTTTGACCTTAAATTTGCAAATCTACTTTAAATTCTCACTTAGGTGAATAACTCTATAAGGTTTCTGCATTGATCTCTTTCATTTACAATTGGAGAAAGTTATATGATAAAGAGGAATACAGACCGAAAGACTTCTGCACACAATTTGGAGGACCAAAAATGACATGGAATAATGGACCAGTCTAAAAACAATAAGATAGTGTAGACACTCTTGTAACCAGGAAAGGGTTAAAACACTGTAAACTATAACAAGCCAAAATATTTTATTAAAGAAATTACTGGTTCAGTCTTGATTTCATCGACTAATAGCTTAATTAAAAACAAACGAAAAATGAAGGCTTAGGGGTCAGTCAAAGCATGACCCTAAAGTCACCAAATAAAAGAATTAAGTGGGTAATGACGGTCATAAACCCTGAATTAATTAAAATAGAAGAAAAATTCCTCAGAGGACTAAGAGGGTAAAGAGCCAGCGGCTATTACTCAAAAAGTCCTCCCAGGTATACCCACAGCGGTAGAGATGACTCAAGGGGCACACAGTCTAGAGTGTGAATATAGCTGACTATAAGTCAATAGTGGTAAAAAAAAAAATAATAGCTTAATTACCTATTCGTTCCCCCTTTTTGTGTCACAATAACATGTTAAGAGAGTAGTATAAATATTTAATATATGTGAACTCTACATTACCTAAATTCAATTATAAATAAATGAAATGCAGTGGTGAATATTCTAAATTTTCTAACTGACAGGTGAACTGAAAACTTACTTTAAAACTCATGACTCCACATTCTGTGCTATTTCTTCTGTTTTTACAGCTAAACAATCATCCTGAGAAGGTGTCTGTTCTTCCGGTATAAGAGATGGGGCATTTGGTTTGATTTCTGCTTGGATAATCTGGACAGTCTCTGTTGATATTTGATCAACCAAATCGCATAACTGTACTGACTCACAATCTGGTGCTGACTGTTCATTCCCTGTTTCAGGTTCCAGTGTCTTTTGATCAACAAGATCTTCACCAGCATTTCCTTTAGTTTCTAATTCATCTCTGATGACAAACACTTCTTTTCGGGACTCATCACCACCAAATACCTCCTGGTGTTCTCTGTAAGCTGTTGTACTGACAAATTTTACAGATTCACAAATGATTTCCTTTTCAACTTGCCCAACATCTAGATTGGTAATAGATATACAAGAATCTGATGAAGATGGATGACAGTCCTGTTTCAATTCAATGTCTATTTCTTTACAAGAAGAAATTAGTACAGTTTGTTGGACTTCAGATATGTTCTCTTCTAGATTTTGAGATTTTAGAATATTGTCACAGTCATTGTCTTGGACACTGTTTACAACTTTTTCCACTGCAGTTTCAATTATTTTTTGCACAATGGTAGAACTGTGTGATTCAATGGAAATGGTTTGGACAGTTTCATCTTCTACTTTTTGCACAGTTGGTTCATCTTCCCAAGAAACAGAAATACCGTTTTCAGTTCCAGTTTTCTCCTCTAGTTCACCACCATAGCTGACGGCATCGACAATCATACAACCAGCAGCTGCTTCTATTGTTGCATCAACAATTGCAGCTGCTGTTTGAGAGATAGATTCAACAACTGTGTGCAGAGTTCCAGAGCTGACCACATACTCTTCAGAGGGGATGATATTTGCATTTTCAGACCTTTGAAAGAGTTGTACATTTTGTGAAGTTTCAATAGGTTTCACAGTTTCTGCTAAGACCGGTTCTTCAACTGCTGCAGCGGCAACTGGCTCAGATGCTTTGTTAGCCTCAGAGCTTTCAAGTTCAGGAATATTGGTAGTGACAACTTCCACTCCCACTTTTTCAAGCTCCCCTTCCACTACAGAGGAATGAAGGCTCACATAAGCTACACTTTTTGATTCATCACATTGTTTAAGTTCTCTTTCAGTTTTAACTTTCATTTCGGATTCCCCTGAATTTTCTATTTTATTCAAAGGGGTGGGTGTGCTGTTTATTTCTGTCTCATTAGCTTGGTCATTATCAATAAAAGCACTCTCTAAGTGTTGGTCCTCAACTGGTTCTATAGTATCTGTGAGACTTGCAAGCACATTAGGGACCTGGACATTTTCCTCCTCTGGCACGATAGGGATAGTGTTTTCAGTCTGCGCTTCCAATGAAACAGAGATTTCAATGGTTTCTTTTTTTTCCACTATGCTTTCCAAAATGTGTTTCTCTGCAGGCTCAGGTGTGCTGTCACTTACTATTTGTTCTGTTTCAACATTAACACTTTCTTTGTCTTTCTTAAACATAACATCACTTTCAATGGACTCTTGCTCATCCTGGACATTCTCTCCTTTCTCTACTACATCTCCAGCAGCAGAACTTTCTTTTTCTACAGATATAAAGGAACTTGCAACATCCCTCTGGACTAATAAAACACTGCATTCTTCAGCTGAAACATTGGTATCTTTCTCACTAGAAAGAGAAGACTCATCATAATGCTGCTTTTCAGTTGAAAAAGTGGTACTTTCTCCAGAGAATTGCTCTTCTAAATCAAGGGTGCATTCTTCCTGAGTAAATTTCAAAGACTGTTCCACAGCAACCTTTTTATCAGTGAAAACAAATACACTTTCTGTTTGCTCTGTATCTGAAGAGGTAATGAGTAGATTTGCTTCTGTTGCCAACCCTGTAAAATCAGGCAAGCTTACTTTGGTTGTTTGATTCGCTACTTGCTCCTGCTCTACAGCTGAAATAAGAGTTTCCTTTTCTTCTTTAACCAAAACGTGTTCACTTTCACCAGATTGGTCTTGAGTCAAAACTAGGGTAATGTCACCATTCTGCTCCTCAGCCAAGGTTACCTCACTTTCTTTACTAACTAACTTTTTATCAATAATGCTTTCCTCGCCTACAAGAAAATTTACATCATTCTGATCATTGGTCAAAACTGGTGAAATGTCAGCATTTTTGTCTGCCAAATCAGGGACACTACCTTCAACTTGATCAACTAAAACAGAAACTAATTCAGCTTTTTCCTCAATCTCAATGAATACAGGAGATTCCTTAACTTGTTCATCAGTTATAATTGGGCTTTCTACCTCAGCAGGCTTCTCAAGTAAAACAGACACACTTTCATCAGTTTCCTTCTCAGCAACTATAGTAGCACTTTGATCAGCTTTGTTGAGAGAGAAATTAGAAATAAATTCAGGGTTTTCATCAAACAAAACCGAATCATTCTTGGCTTGTTCAGCAATCAAAATAGGCTTTATATCATCAGCAAGCAACTCTACTGAAGAAGAGATGGATCCATCAGTTAGCTTATCATCATCATCAACAATAGGGGAATTTTCTTTAGCTTGATCCAGGGCTAAATCAGGGACAATTTCAGCTTTTTCCTTAATCAAAGTAGTAAGGTTTTCAGTCTTCTCTTCTGTTAAAACAGAACTTATTTCAACAGCAGGCTTCTCATCTAAAAGAATATGCACACCATTGTCAGCTTTGTCCAATACTGATTCCAGGGCATCTTGTTCTTTTGTCAAAATGGGGACCTTCTCAGCCTGCTCCTCAGACAAATTTAACCTTATCTCATCAACAGGCTTCTTGGCTAAAACACAAATATATTCATCAGTTTCTTTCTCAGTTAAAACATCAGCACTTTCACCAACTTGCTCCAGTGCTAAAACATGAACAATGTCCGCATTTTCCACAGTCAAAACATTGCTTCCCTCTTCATTAGATTTCTCAACTAGAATAGGCAAGCCTTCATCACTTTGCTTTTCAAAAAATATAGGGGCATCTCCACCGGGTCCAGTTAAACCTAAATAAGGGACAACTTTAACTTTTTCCTCAATTGAAACAGGGACATTATGGAAATCATCATCTGTCAAAATCGGACTTACTTCCACAGAAGGTTTCTCAGGTAAAACAGAGATGCCATCATGAGTCTGATTCTCAGACAAAACTGAGATAACTTCATCACTTTGGTCCAGAGTCAGTAAAACATCAGATTTTTCCTCAGCTAGTTTAGGGACACACTTTGCTGTATTCTCAGCCAAAGTGGAATTTACTACATCAGCAACCTTTTCATCTAAAACAGAAGTGCTTTCTTCAGTCTTTTCTTCAGGCACAGTGGGGACAGCATCCTTAACCGGTTCGTCTGACAAGCTAGATGTATCTTTACCAGTTTGTTCCTCTGCTAACACCAAGATTGTTTCTTCAACTTGGTTGTAAGTTAAAGTGGGTACTCCGGCAGACTTTTCATTCTCCTCCTGAGCTAAAATTACAACAGATTTGCAACTTTGTACTTCAGAAAAGGACAATTTTTCACTTTCCTCCTGAATCAAAAAAGAGCTATGTTTCTCAGTTTGAGGCTCAACCGAAATGAGGGTTACATCAGTCGTGTCCAAAATGGAAACACTTTCATGTTTACTGGTCTTCTCATGAACCAAAACATTTTCAAGTTGTTCATTACTTGGGGAAACATCCTTTTCCTGTTGTACCGCAAAAACATCAGCTAGAAGGGGGGTGGCTCCTGCACTGCATCCTGTAGTTGGAATAAAGGGAACTTCAACATTTTTCTCTGCTGGACCAGTGAGAACATGGTCAGCCTGCTCCTTGAATACAACAGGGACAATTTCAACAGCAGTATTCTTTTCAGCAGCGGTCTGGAAACATTCAACACCTTGTTTTTCAACAAATGATAGAATTTCTTCATTTGTATGATCTGCAGCCACAATAGGATCCTCTTCAACAACATTTGTTTCATTCAAAGTGGAAATATATTCTTTAGCATTTTGATCAACTGTTTTGGAAAAATCTACTTTAGTATGTTCTTCAAGCAAGATGGCGGCACCTTCATCAGTGGGAACAATACTTTTCTCAAGGGTATTTTCAGTGAATGTAGTTACACATACCGATGTCTGACAAAAGTCTAATTCCACAGTTTTATTTTCTGTACAGTTTTCTTCACCTTGAGCAGTTTCAACTAAAGGATCAGTATCTTCAGCTTGTCTTTGCTCTTTGACATCTATTTTCTCGAAAAGTGAAAAGGTCCCTTGCAATGAACTGCTACTCTCTATAAGTGCATCAACTGACAGCTTTGCCTTTTCGGCAACCTCTTGGAGAATCTTGTCAGTGTGTTTCTTTTGCTTTTCTAAACTTCTTGTACTTGCATCTTCCTCTGGTACAGGTGTTGTGTCTTCAGTAGTGAGAAGTGATTCACCAAGCTGAGAAACAGCAGATACCATTTCAGTTGTCTCTTCAGCACATGAGGTTTCAATAGCTTCTTCCAGGGCTATAATAGCTTCAGCTGTTAACTCCACATCATTGATTATATCATTTGTTGTTTTCAAGTCAACATGTGACACTGTACTAAAAATTACACTTTCTTCAACTTTCAACTCTGTTGTGATTTCCTCTTTGCCTTCTAACGCTATATGTCCATTTTCTTTCTCAATCGTCTCAGTTACTGTTGCACTAATCCAGGAGGGTGATCTTTCTTCCAAACTTGTAACAGCTCTTTCTCCTTCTATTACCGTCACAGTAACAGCATGGATGAGACCATCATTTGACTTTTCTTGTGCTGCTAGTTGATCTTTGGAAGCATCACTAAAAACACAGACATCTACAGATTTCTGCGCCTCAAGCTTTTCTTGCTCTGCAGCATCAAATTCAGCCAAAGGAACAACAGCTGGTTCATCAAAATCATCTTCAACCATTTCTGACTGAATTACTGCTTGCCCACTTTCATTTATTGCACCCTGGTCGAGTTTGCCATCTGATTTTTTCTTCTTACGTCCAGGAATTAATTTTTTTAAGGATACCCATGTCTCTTCTTTTCCTGCTTCCCCTTCTGATGTAGACTGCTCCATGCTGGATGTCACAGTAGGTTCTTCAATTTTATCTTCAGCTCTGGATTTTGATTTTCTTCTTGGTGTCACCAGTCGTTTAAAAGATTGCCATGTTGATACCCCATCACCTTCCGTAGGACTGTTGGCCTGATCAGGTGATGAACTGTCTTGTTCCTTTTCCTGGGAGCTTACATGAGGACCATCAGCATCCAACTCTTTAACATTTCCGACATCCTCCTCTATTTTCTTATTTTCTTCAAGGTTATTTGGTGCTTCTTCTTCTGAATCAGAAGTCTTTCTAGCTCTTTTCTTCGATGAGCCAACACAGATTAAGGCCTCCCATGAAACAGAACTGTCAACCTTCTTTTTATTCTCCTCAGTACTCTTTTCAAGTTTCTGCTCTTCATTGTTATCTTTGACTTCTTCTTGATTGTCAACATAACCAGCACTTTCAGTGGAAGACATGGTTGAGCTCTTAACCTTTTCAATGTCATCTTCTTTATCACTTTCTGATGGCCTCTTTGGCCGTTTCTTGGGAGTGACCAGCTTTTTAAATGAAGCCCATGGTGTAATTCCATCTTTTTTTCTTTCCCCATCAGATGTGGCACCTTCACCTTCTGTTTCAGTGGTCTGCTGTGTCTCTTCTGGATTTTTTTCTGAAGGAGAGGTCTCCCCTGAATCATCAGGAGAAGAGGGGGAGCTTTCTCCACCATCTGCACCTGGAGCTTCAGGAGATTCTGATGAAACAGTTGCTTGTTGGGCTACATCTTCTGTTTTAGCATCATCCTCTTTTTTACCTTTATATTTCTTTCCTGATAGTTTCCTCAAGCCAGAACCACTAAATAGCTTTTTTAAGGGGCTACCCTGAAGTTTTGCTTTATCTTGTGAGGACAAAAGTTCTGCTTCTGTAATGACAGCTTCCTGACTTTTTTCCAGTTCTACACATTCAGTACTTATAACTAACTGGGATTGCTCCTCTGTCAAATCTTCTTCACCTTTTACATCTTTTTCGAGTGTTTCAGTATGGATTTCCACAACTTGCAGCGGTTTGTCTGAACTTGGTGGGCTAGTAGAACTGATTTCCGTTATATTAATTGCAGTTATCTCCTCTGAAACATCAGTTTGAGTAATTATTTCACTCAACTCATTCAATACTGGAGCAGCAATTTCTACAACTACATCAACAACATTTTCTGTCTTTTCTGATTCAGGTAAAACACTTTCTGTTACAGGTGCAGCATCTTCTGCCTTTTCTTTATCTGCAGTTTTGAACTCTTCTAGTTTAGAAGATAAGGATTCATCTGGCAGTGACTGTTCTGCAACAGAAGCTGTAATTTCCTCATCAATAAATGTATTTACTTCTTCATTTTCAGACTTCTCTGCTTTCTCTTGCAAAGACTGATCTTCAATTATTGCTTCTTTCTCACTGGGTTCCTCTTGTTTAACAACATCTTGAACTTCAACCTTATCCTCTTGTTCACTCTCAATGTGTTTCTCAACCTCCTGGGGGTCTTCCTCCTTTGACTTTCTAAAACTGGTCTTTTTCCTCAGCCCTGCCCAACCTTGTGTGAAAAACCTCTTGAACGGAGAAGAGGATTCCGCAACAATTGGATTTGCTGGTGACACTGGAGATTTTTTTTGTTCCTTTTCAACTTTGGGCTCGTCCTCTGTCGTTGGGCTCTCAGCAAAAGTTTCTTTTGGACTGTCATTTTCTTCTACGGCTACATCAGCCTTTTCTAACTCTTGCTTTACATCTTTGGTTTCTTGTGTTTCTACTGGTTTGTCTTCAACAGGGGAACTGCTTTGTTTTTCATTATTATCTGCACCATTAACTTCCACTTCATCTTTCTGTACAGTCACAAGTTGCACGGGATCTGCCTTTTCGGTCTTGTCTTTTTTCACAGTAAATTTAAAGCCAACAAATTTAAACACTTTTTTGAACCCCACTTCATTAGATTGGTTTTCGTTTGCTTGCTCTGGTGACTCTTCTTTAACTTCTGTATCTATTGTTGTAGTGATGGCTTCTGAAGCTTCTTCCAGACCATCTTGTTCCATACTGTCTTTAGAAGCTTCATCATTGGGTGTAACTTCTATATTTTCAACAGGCTCTTCGTTCAGAAGTCCATTTGAAGGTTCTTGTTGTTCAACTACAATATATAAATAAAAAATAATCAGTTTTTATTAACTTTAAGAAACAACCATAAAGAAACTGTCACACAACACAATATACCAGTAGGTCATGTAGTGAAGATTTTATGATAGTAGTCTGCAAAATTCTTCTGAATTAAACATTCCCTTGCTCATGTTAAAGTAGTACAGCAGTAAACAATGATAAAGCAGCCTGCTAAAGGATAAATAATTGGCTAAAATCCAAGAAAATTTATATTATTTAATACATATACATAAAAATTTAATTTCATAAAATCAACCATAAAAACAAACCAAATGTAGCACTGTATCCTTTAAAGGAACACTATATGGTCAGGAACACAAACATTTATTCCTGACCCTATAGTGTTAAAATTACCATGTAGCCCCCCTGACCTCCCTAAATATAGCAACATCTTACCTTTACTCCAGTTTGCTGCTGACACTGCCCCTGATCTGCCTGCTTGGCTGACATCATCAGAAGTGGTGTTCTGAGCCAATCACAATGATTTCACATAGGAAAGCATTGGATTAGCTGAGCTTGTCAAGGAGGCAGATCAGGGGCAAAGCCAGCACAAGCCATACACAGCCCTGGCCAATCAGCATATCCTCATAGAAATGTCTTGAATCAATGCATTTCTATGGGGAAAGTTTAGTGTCTCCATGCAGAGGGTGGAGACACTGAATGGCACTGCTGCTCACTTTTCTCTGAAAAGACAGTGTTTACTGCAAAAAAGGGACTGATTATACTCACCGGAACAAATACAATAAGCTGTGGTTGTTCTGGTAACTAAATTATGAATGGGAAAAGCATGGGATTTAACACATTTCTTTGCAGCCTCTGGGAATCTAGAGTAACACATCCAATATTTCTAAGATTAAAACATAATTTGAAGAATAGAAAGAAGAACCAATCAGTTTTACTCTGCAACAGGTGGACACAGCATATAGTACCCAGACACCTGTGACAGCCTTTGCAAGCCTTCCCCTTCTATCCCAGGCCAGATTTCCTGTGGCTGTCTAATCACATACTTTTCAATGCAGCTCAATGAGAATTATTAGCAAGGAAGGCGCTCTGGGTAATTGCTGCCTCTGGAGTTTAGCTTCCCTGAGTTAAACAAACCGGGAAGTAACGGGACATGTCTGATTGACACTCAAGGATGTGGAATAACATTAATTTATAAAACTGCCAATTTCTATTGAAATCTGCACTTTTTGTAGAATACCATTTTTAATTGTTTTTTTAAAAGGACACTCGTCCCACATAAAGCACTTCAGCAAGTTAAACAGGTTAAGTAAGGTGTGTGCAGTGCTCCTTTAAGATAGCAAATAGAAACTACATCTGGAGTGCCGAAGGTTGCCTACTCCTGAACTAGATGATGGCACAGCGAGTGCTAATAACCAGTAGGTGGAAGTATAATCACAGGTAATCAGTGACTTGTGTTTAACTGATTCAACATTTCTACAATATTGCAGCTTTCAGAGACATGCGATTTGATAATGTTCCTACTACTAGCTGATTTTAATTGTATCAGTCAATTACTAAGCAGTTTGTCCCATTAGAAGGGAACAAGGCTAGGGTACTCCTGGCATCATAACCACTGCAGCGGGATGCTTGGAGTTACCCTTTAACAAACTAATCTGTATTGAATAACAAAATACCAACAAGGAGAAAGGACCCAAACACCTATATCTATATATCTAGAATAATGTTTTAGATAAATTAGACTTTGGCAAACATATGTCAACCTAAAATAAAATATGTAACTTGAGAAGACGTGATTGATTTTCCACTTTACAGCACGATTATGCTGCCTCTTACCCACAAAGCAGATATGGAAACACACGCATAGCAAGTATGGTTCCTGTAGAGTCCTACACCTTGGGGCTTCCTGTACATAGGAACACACAAGAATATGCAAGTACTATATCTACCCCTTACATAAGGCCATGTCCTCCCAGAGTATTTAAGGACCTCATATTTCTAATGTAACTTCATTCTTTTAATTCGGTGGAGTAGTTGTACCATATCCTTCCATGTTTGCTGTACAGAAATGTGAGAAATTTACCCCAGCGTAGACACTTATGCATAAACATAGGGGATTGGCATCTGCACTTGTCATTTTCCATTTATTTTTATGTCGCCCCCCCCTAACCCTTGTGCACCATTAGGTTTACATTACCTGAAACTTAGTGGTGTGCTTCATTTGTTTTGTTTTCTATATTTTATTTGTTTACTTTAAATACAACAAAAATTACTACCATAATGGAGTTTGTTCCCCAAGTCAAAATGTATCTGGATCACAAAGTTAGCTTCTTTTTTTGACAAGATCAAAGAAACAAAAACTTGGCTCCATCAAAATAAATAGCAATTAAATAGCAACGTCCAGCAAAAGCAAAAGTATTGATGATGATGAACCCAACTTTAATTTCACCAACAGGGCTTTACTGTGACAATTAAAATCAAAGGATATCTCTGTGGGTGTCAGATGTCTGTGGACTTCATTCACTTTCGCAACTAGTGTGACCACAGGTGGGGCTGTGATTATCATAGAGGTGGAGATGCATTTCATAATGACCTATGTCTGTAAAAGGTCACACATGCCATCAAAAAGTGCACATTTTACAATGTGTGGCCTCTGTATTCCCAACTTCTTACTAATCCCCATTATTAAGATTTCAGGCATAGCCAGAAATACAGCATGAATGCACAAATATGGGCATTATGATCTCCAAACTTTTTCTAGTTCTTGATTGAAATAAGTCAAGTCCTTAATATAAATATTTTACACAATGACCTATTCCCCTGGGTTTAGATTAATATGTTGTTTTATATAGTAAATTGTTCACAATTAAGACTGAAAAAAATATAGAATTGAAACAAAACACTCTGGCTGCTTCAATTGTACGAGGCTGATGCAAAGGAGTTCTGGAAACTTTGTAAGTGTGAGTTGTAGCTGAATTGTTTTAAACAAATATTTGAGTTGACCATTGACAGATTGTAGATTCTGGATTCAATAAATGGGCTGGTGGCAGTACAGTGGTGAACAAGCATCAGAATAACATTACAAACAGTGCCGATGCCTGAAACAGTTGACCAAAAATTAGAGATCAACAAAAGTCCTAGTAGAGCCAACCTTTAATTTCCCCAAAAAGTTTCCCTTTCCTTCCTGACAATGTCTAAACAAACCTGCAAGGAGCTGTAACCACTAGAATCTTCCCTCTCAACCACCAACAGCTTTTATTAGTAAACACTCTGAAACAGGTAGAAAATTGGCACCTGTTGACAATCCAAAGCAAATCTGGAGACCGAACTTAAGATGGCTGAGACTACTCTTGCAGCTAATTGATTTAAGGTTAGGTTTCTGGTATCTGCATTGGCAAATGGGATATACCACGCAAAGCGCTAATCAGTGTTTTGTGTATAAACAGTAGCAGAAGTTCAATGAGTGTATAAACATTACCACTGATGTCTGGTAGTCATTAAGATCAAACAAGATAAGAACCCATTCCAAGTATGGAAGTATAAAAGGGAGTTTGTATTAGTGTGAACATCGTATCAACAAACAGATCTGTCATAAAAAAAGACTTAACATACCAAAGGAAGGTTTATAGCAGAAAACTGAAGGAGAAAGAGAGTAACAAGCTTTCCATTTTGGGTGTCGTTGAATTTGCTGATTGACAAGAACAGCGCACATTTAAGAGAGAACATTTTTCTTCTACTCTTATCCAACAAAATGGTTTAAGTGTATTAGTCATAGTACATACAACTTCAACTGAAGTGAAAGAAAAACAATGCAATCTATACATTGAGCCGAGTTGTACACATTTTCAATGCCTAAATAGAAATATCGTACTTCCCTCCGCCTGTCAATCAATTCACAGCCTAGACAGGTATGATACATATAGGCAGGTCTCCTGCTCTCCATCAGAGCAACTACAGCATATGCACTGTAGCTGCTGTAATTACTCCCCAGAAAAAGCATCACTGTGTTCAGTCTTGTGACTGGGTCAAGCACAGCTCACTGTGTTCAGTCTGAGGGGGCGTGGCCATGCACCAATCACTATATCTAGTCTGGGGCGGGGCCATGCACAGATCACTTTGTTCAGTCTGAGGGGGCGTGGCCATGCACAGATCACTGTGTTCAGTCTGAGGGGGCGTGGCCATGCACAGATCACTGTGTTCAGTCTGAGGGGGCGTGGCCATGCACAGCTCACTGTGTTCAGTCTGAGGGGGCGTGGCCATGCACAGCTCACTGTGTTCAGTCTGAGGGATGGGGGGCCATGTACAGATTAGGATCCTGAGACTGAATACAGGGATTCCAGAGTGCTGGAGCCAGCAGAAAAAGTCAGGAGGTTGCAAGGAAGGATCATTTGGCTATAAAAATGCCCACATAGAGAAAAGTTCCTCTTTAAAGTAGTCTTCATGCAACATTAACAGCTCGAGATCACAGATTTTAAAATGTTGATAGCATCATAATTTTAAAGGGACTCTCCAGTGCCAGGAAAACAAACCATTTCCCTGGCACTGCAGGTCCCCTCTCCCTCCCACCCCCCATCCCAAGTTGCTGAAGGGGTTAAAACCCCTTCAGTGACTTACCTGTATCCAGCGCCAATGTCCCTCAGCGCTGGTTCAGGGTCTGCCCACGCTCCTCCCCCCGCCGTCATCCGGCGGGGGAGACCTATTGAGTATGCGCGGCCGCCGGCGGGGGAGACCTAATGCGCATGTGCGGCAATGCTGAGCACGCGCATTGGACCTCCCCATAGGAAAGCATTGAAAAATGCTTTCAATGCTTTCATATGGGGATTTCAGCGACGCTGGAGGTCCTCATATAGCATGAGGACGTCCAGCGCCGTTATAGCACACTTTTCATGTGCTATAAACACGGAAGTGCCCTCTAGTGGCTGTCTAGTAGACAGCCAGTAGAGGAGGAGTTAACCCTGCAAGGTAAATATTGTAGTTTATGAAAACTGCAATAATTACACTTGCAGGGTTAAGGGAGTTGGCACCCAGACAACTCCAATGGGCAGAAGTGGTCTGGGTGCCTGGAGTGTGCCTTTAAATTATAGTTGTATGAACTATTTTCAGAATATATTGGGCAGAAATATATTGGCCATCAGCAACTGGAAATGATTCCCAAAAGCTCAAATAAATAGTTTTCGGAAACAATACTTAATATCAGCATGACTGTTTTATAAATTAAAGGGATTCTATAGTATTAGGAATACAAATCTGTTTTCCTAAAACTATAGAGCCCTCTGATTCCACCCTCCCTTGGCTGCTAAAGGTTTAAAACCCTTTAGTCACTTAGCCGATTCCAGCACCGATGTTCTTCAGGTCTGGGTTGGCACTCCAACTCCGCTGACATTATCTGGTAGAGGGGCTAAGCGCATGCGCAGCAAGCACATTAGACCCTACCCATAAGAAAGCATTGCTTCAATGCTTTCCTAGGGGGATTTTTCAAATGCTAGACAACCTCATGCAGAGCATGAGGACATCCAGCATCAGTTAGGCGAGTCCATTAGCAACCAGAAAGCCTCTATTAACAAGATGTTAATAAGGACCTTGCTCGAACAAGCATCTAGAGGTGATGATGCATAACAATATGATTACATTTTTGTTCAAGCAAATTTTCAGGATTCATTACAAGACCATGGAAGCAAAAGTGTTAAGATAACTAGATCAGAAAGATCCCTATGCAGTTTCAGTCTTTTAATGGTTAAATGTACAGCACTCCATGTGCTTGAAGTCATCCTTGTCAACATCTGGAGCTGGTTGACAATGCTCTCTAGGGATTTCTAGAGCTGGCCTGGAAGCTTTCCAGAAATTCCCAACATTCTATGTTTATCAGATATGCTATGTACACACCCAACCTTCCTCTCCCCAGACCCCTTTAAAGACTTTACACAGACCACATTTTGCAAACTTCGCAGTTCTTCCTCTCTTCATTGTGTCAAAAGGAGTTTTCTTTACTGCTGTGCTTTATTTTGATGATGTTAAAAAAAAAGCATTAGTTAAAGGAAAGGGATGGGTCAGAACATGAACCAAATACTATCATTCTACACAGAGATTTATTTTGACCGCAAAGTGAAATAAAACAAAACATCTCTGCATGTTAGAAAAGTTAACTGTACTTCCCTGTATTAGACTTCTGCACAAAAGCATTTCAGGTTAGTCATACGAATAAAATTATTTTCAATCTACAGCCAAACGAATCAATCTGTCTGGGGTGTATCTGTGGAGTCCTATTCATTGAATAAGATTCCACAGGGAAAGCACTGACAAGCGATTTGTTCAGGTATTGATTAAAAGGAATTTGATTCGTATGACCAACCATGAAGCACATTTGTGCACAAGTCTATACTAAATTAAAAATCGAATTCCGGTTCTCAGTGCTATGAGTTTTACTCACTACATTTTGAACTGAAGCAAAATTTAAGGTAAAAATAGAAAAAGTATCTAAGCCAGCTATCCTTTCAGTTCAACTACTCGGGCCTTATATTTGAAATCCACTTTGAATTTTCCCCTTTAGTAAGTACCGTGTTAGCGTCAGTAGTGTACACATACAGTACATAAAATGTGTATATATGAGTACTAGCAGTATAATGCATGTTAAGTGTATGTACTATAGATACTGTGACAAACTTGAACTACTAGCTATTGATGTGCAAACTGATAAAGCTGATTGTAAGAAAAGCCTAAGATGCATGTGACTCCATATGGTATAACATTCCTAACCCACCCCATTCTCCAACATGGCCATTAAAAAACAAAACTGTAAGAGGAGCAAATTTTAAATATAAAAACTAAAGACAAATTGAAATCAGAAGGATTACACATATCTAACATGTGATGGAAGTAGTGTATTCATCACTAGCAAGTTTTATTGGATGATTTGTAGTAAAACAGATGGAAGTCTCTAACAGGGTTGGGTTTTACATGTTATTTCAGAAATGTGGTATGTCACATGAGATGGGGGGTTTCTAATAATGCAAAAAATCCTGGGTAATATATTTGTTCTTCAATGATATGTGCTGTCTAAAAATAAAAGATTTAATATGTTTCATGACCAACTACCCATCACTCAAAGAACAACTGGAAGAAAGACAGCTGTTTAAACAATTATATATAAACACACAGAAAGAATATTTAGATTGCAAACTCAATTATTGATCATGGAAGTGACCGAAAACAAACAAAGTCAACACCTTTCTCATGTTCCTTTTATGGTATGGATTCTTCTGAAAACTTAGGTAGAACATTTTGTATTGTTCCATATACTCCAAGAATGGAAGAAAAAAATGCATCTCTTCTATACTGTGCAGAATATTTTTTTTTCAAACCTCCAATACAAAAGAAAAAAAGAGATACTTTATGTACAATATACACATTTTGGATAGGTGTCAGCCAGTCTTGAAATAAGATTTGGGTTCACTTTGTTGCACAAGTATAGTGCAATCTAATGAGCAATCGTATGTGAATTGCAAAGCAAGCTCACGAATGTTTACCTTGTCTGTTGTGTTGTTTACGTCTACTAAACAAAAAACAGCTTGTAAAAGCATCTAAGCTAGTTAGCAAGTCACTCTCAGCTATAACACTTCTCAGTGATTTCCCCTGCTAAAAGGATTGCATTTTTACAACTATTTGGGTGATTTTCTCATTTACACAGGTCTTCGGCATATACAAGCATTTAAACTTTTCAGAGGTAGGCACCATAAATAGAGGACAAAATATGTGAGTTTAAAGCGGCACTATGAACCTAATTTATTTTAATTAAAAAATAAAATAACATTTCTGATATCCTCTTTTTTTCCTTTTCTTACCTCTCCCTTTTCACTCCCGAATTGGGCGACTACTCAATATTGTAACAATTATAACAACTCTATATTATGAATTATATTGTTTATTGCATTTGATAATATTCCTAAGTTTTACATTGCTCCTTTCTCTGCTTGTTTTACATTCCCATGGACCATCTCACTTGGTTGCTCCTTGTCAGTTGCTTAATGGTCACTTGACTTGGGTTTGCTTATCATTTAACTATACTTTTTCTTTCTACGGGGATCTCAAAAATAAATTAATTAAATCAATTAAAAAGGTACCTTTAAAGTCTCCGCTTTTGCTGAATTTCCCCAGACAAGCAGCAGCAAAGTCTGCCCAGACTAAGAAGAGGCTCCACCAATCAGGATCCTATAGTTCTGGTCTAATTCTGGGCTATGAGTCTGACAATCCCTAAACAAAAGAAATGTAGTCTCCCCCCCAGTAGAATATAACTACACTAATACTCTCCCATACTACAATTTTGTGAACACATTCAGTGAGAATCATAGGGAATTTAAACTGAATTTCAAATTTGAGGCAAGAATAGCCGAGCTGGAAATACCCCAACTCAGTTATACTTCCTGTTTGGTTATTTTGGCCTTAAGTTTGAAATTGACTTTGAATTCCAGACAATTCTCTCTTTATAGTATAACCTTGATATAGTTTCCCAAGCTCCATTTTGTACAATGACAATGATTCTAGTAAGACAGGCCCCTCGGTTGGTGTTGTGGATTCTGGTCACTGAGAGTTGTCTAGTTAAATGATTCCAAGCTTAAAGAATAACAGTCATCTCTCTCTCTATATATATATATATAATAATCATTTCATTACATTTTGGAAGGAAATAAATTAGCAGGGTTCTTCATTAAAGTGAGAATTCAAGATAATTTTAAAGTCAAAAGTCAATTATACTTCAAGCTTGGCTATTTTGGTCTTAACTTTGAAAGCCACTGTGAGTTCCTAATAATTCTTTCTCTAGAGAATAACCATGATATAGTCTCCCAAGCTGCCAATTACTCATGTACATGAGGGTGTACATGAGGGAACAGTAGCTTAAACGCCATGCACCAATGCTGTGTGTGCACGATACAAATATGTTTGTTTGTGTAGGTACAGGTCACCATTACCAATGCAATGTGCTTAATTTAATATGGTGAATGGAGTGACTCATTAATGGAAGACTAAAATTCCAACATAGGGTCGCACCCTCACCAAACATCAGCATGTAGAAAAAGTCTATACGTTTCACCTACAAAACAGGGAAATGTGGAGCATTGACAAGGTAACATTAAATTGTAGGCCAACATTTTTCAAGTTTGACTATTTTTCCTTATGTTTGCGATTCCCTTCTCAGTTCTATGCAGTTTACTGATAAACCCTGAACAGCTCTAGACAACTATTTAACACATATGGCAGAAATCACTTTCAGTATGTATGTCCCTATTTTCAACATTATCCCACATAAAAATGTGTGATTTTATATCTAATGTTCCCCATTCAACCAATAATGACATCATTAAGGGAGAATTGAGCAGTTTGCCAAATGCATGTTCATAAGTTGCCAGGTCTCTCCTCTGGTGTTGGCTAGTTCAAATGGTAAATTAGCTGGGAAAGAACTCTTATTCTGGAGCTCAATATATAATTTTCTTGTATACGTATTTATTTGTTTCTTGCATTTGCCACTTTTAACTACTTTATGATGTTCTAGGATTGTCAAAATATCATGACATTTGCCCAACTAGGGTGAAAGATGTGTTAAGGAAAACAAAACACTAAACTGATCCTACCATATATCAACCTTACCAAGTCTCAAGATGCATATTTGGACACATCTAGAGTTACCATAGTCCACATGGGTTGTATCCACTAAATTTTTAATTGTAGTGAATTTGAAAATTTAAACTTTTGGGATACAAACTAACTTGGAAATAATATCCAACTCAGCTATAGTCTGTGCTTGTCTGTTTAACTCTGAATTTTGCAAAGTGGTTCTCAATCCAATTCTGTATTTAGTGAATAAACCAATCTGTTTTTATAGACACTAAACATTAGTTCATATTTGTGGATAGCACATGAAGAGTTCTACCCTCAGTATCCAAAATGCATGTGCTGCAGAATTCTCGATTGATTTATCACTCAATATCCTACCAACAGCATTAGCATTCTACTTAGTGCAAGACAACAGTCAAACATGAATAAGACATATGTTTCCAGGCAAACATGGGATATATGGCTACACTAGTCACAGCACACCTCTCATAAACCGCAGAGGAATATACTGGGATATCTTACAACATTTTATCAACATCCCAACTCTGTCTATATCTCAACCACTGAGAAGCAAAAAATAAACTAGTGCAGTCATCAAATGATTCCATAGAAAAAAATAATGCTTCAAAAATTTATAAAACATACAAAAACCACAATAAAGAAAAAACAGAATCACTTAATGTGTTTCATGCCTCCACAGTACTTGCTTGGTGTCATGCAAGAGTACAAACAAAACATACCAAAATATTAATGCCCATAAAACACCCAGCTCCAATAAACCTCAGCAACTTCTACTGGTGATATTTTTCCTGGGATGCAGATCTTTCTGACCATGGAGAGTATTGCATTGTGTTACTGAATGATGTAACAGAACATGCTCTAACTGTACAGAGCCAAGGAAACTTCATGTCATCGCAGAATACTATCCTCCATGATACAGTCTGCTGCACAACTTGGCAGACGTCATCATTTCAACTTGGACCTCACAAAAACACAATATAAAGTGATTTAGCATTCACTATAAAATAGGATTCTCTGTCCATGAAAATTCTGTGCAGCTTTCAGATCCACCAAAACGGAGCTCATCTACAATATTTTCCATTCTCTAGACTGGGTTTCACATGCAGTTGGGAGGTACATGAATAGGGTTGTCAGACTGCTTGTGGAATTCCTAGACTACCAGAAGAAATCAAGGAATTAAATGAGGCTGTATCTATGGGATCATTGTCATAATTAACAAATTTCCTAATGCAGCTCATCACCACTACTATCGTCTATTGGGGACACTCTTTATGTAACAACTTAGGAACTCCTTGTGGTAAAACGTGGCCATGGTGACTATTCTACTTAGTAATTCACCCTTTGAGAGGCACGCCCTCTGACACTCAAATATTAAATACTTAATTTCAATAGGGAATATCGATTATGCCACATCAGTCAGCCGAATGTCTCTGAAGCATTAGTTATTTGCTGAAATAATATAAATGGGCTTTAACAATAGAGCAGCAATTTAAGCCTTAAAAAATACATAAGAATTTAATCTGAACAAGCTTATTCAAAATACATCCTGACAAACTAGTTCATTATAGAGCTTGGCTTGTGAAATCTAATATTCTCCCCTCATTCCAGGAAACCACCCTGTTAACCCATTCAATGCCAAGTTTGCAAGCTGAGTGTCACTTTCCAGAGCACTGCCCACAGTACTGATCTCAATGGGTTAATTCTACAAGTCCCAGGAATGAAAAATCTCCAAGCCATACAATGGACTACACATAAATATGCAATGCAGCTTTACTAATAAGGGACCTAAGCTCACAAAATATCCTACTTTTAACGGTCAATTGCATAATAGCCTGCTTTTATATATTCTGAGTAGAACAGAGCAAGTCGCCAAGAAATGATAAACGGGGGACCAAATAATGCCCCAGCAAAATTAACAGTTCGTTAATAATAAATGTATCTTTTGTTTGCTTAATTTATTGCATACCTTTGTAAAGAATTATTTCTTAACATTGGTTGCAAATGTAATCCACACAAATAAATAGGGTAGAAATATTTTCCAAACTCGGAGAAAAACAGTACTCTCAGAGTACTCTCGCTAGACACACACACGGAGGGCCTCATTCTACTGAAATGGATTACTTAAGCCAACAAAACATCTAGGGTTGGCAGATTCACCATAATTTCCCAGACATTTTATTTCAACATCACAATGAGCACTAAATGGAAAATGAAAATAAATTGATTAATAAAAATTAAAACCAAAAGCAAGAGTATTGATCAGCAAAGTGATTTTCCTCCTGCAGCATATGAATGCTGCAAACTACGGGGCTGTTCTTTTAATGTACTTCAAATTGGAAGGACTTAAGTTTCACAGTGAATACAATTCTGAAACTAATTTCTAAAAGCAGAGCAATCACCAAGTATATTACAATGGATTCAATGGTAACTGTTTAACATTTATATACGGTAATTGCCCCACAGTGACTTTTTAATACTTATTCCCTAAAATCTTTTCAAGAATGTAATGCAGCTTTATAGGTCTACAATGAACTTTTTTTTCTTCCCATCTAAAACAATGCATTGCCTGATGCAATAACACAGATAAATAGGACTGGACTAATTATCTGCCAGTCTCAGTAGTCGCACAGAGAAGGGAATATTTAATCAAGTTTCTCTGGTTAGTAGACTGAAATTTAACTACACCCCCTGTGGCTTGATGGTTTTCTATTATGCTGTTAAGTAACTAACAAAAACCTCAGCATTTTCTGGCTTTTCTCCTGTGGATGTGTACAAAAAGGAAAAAAAAAATGTTGCCTCAGGGAATTAAGTGGTTAATCCAAGAATGACAAACTCTCTTGGGAACTGAAATGTGATCACTTACAAATGTATCTGTCTTGTTACAGAAGGCTTGCCTAACAGTTATATTGGAAGCCACATATTAAAAATGTCATTGACAGAAGAGCTGATTTGCATTATAAAAATGAGATGATGCCAATATTAATAATAATAATGGAATTGCAGTGAAAAAGTGCTAGAATGAGTCAGCAATCATTCATACACACTAATTTTATGAACAATATTACCATTATCCAAACCATGCTACAACAGCAGCACTGAACTAAAATCACTAAGGTCAAACATAATGTATATGTAAACATAATTAACAAACTACCAAAACCCTAAATTAATTACCTTTAAGTATTTTTCCTGATGAGTAAGTTAGCTCTAAAATAATGTTTTCTACTAAGAGGTATTAATAATGTACTGTCTCTACATATAAATAAACCTTTTATATGAGAATAAACACAGATATCATTAATTATACATGAAGTGCAAAGTGAAGTTTGAAACACAATAAAATGTAAAATAAGAATTCCAGTTTAAGAAATGCTAAGGGAATGAGGTCATATGGTGATGACATTTGGAAACACTTGTGACTTTTATTTGTGTTACATATTACATTTAAATTGCATTGTGTAAAATATTTGTACAATTAAAAGGCACAATCTTAAAATGCAATTTATTGCACTTCCAATTCAAGCTGAGTGAAGTGTGAAAAGCACTGTATGTCCTAATATTGCTTTACAACATCCAGAATAAACATAGCAGGTTTCACATCTACCCCACATAAATAGAACATACCCCTTCAATTGCCACATTCATGAGGAAAGACATTGCAATTGCATAGAGGGGGAAAGAGGTACTGCAATGACAACTATGGCAAGGAGAACAGTAACCCCACAACTAGGGGGCATTATAATCCATGGGTGTTTAATAAGCACAGGCAATCTGGGAGGGGACAGCCTTACATAATAACCCCAGCTACAAGTTTTCTACAGACAAAATGATACATCACTAGCAAATTTATAAGTAGGCTTACAAACTCTTAACATATTTTAGTTTTTCCTATCTTTCTTAAAAAGTGAAACATAAGATTCTAAAATCTACAGAACATTTTCTTAGGGGTTATTTGTCCCCATCCAACCAACACCCCCACCCAGTTCCTACATCCATGTAACATCCCCATATACAGTGCTACGAAATTTGCTGAAGCTATAGAAATAAAATAATACTACTAATATACATATATACATAGATAGTAATCTTGTTTGAGCGGTACCTTTTTTACCTTTTGTCTGTGAGAAATTTTGTATGTCATTACTTGTCAAATATCCCATTTCTATAATTGGAAAGCTCTGTGGAATATGTTGTCACTACATAAAGGCTAATAATAATAATAATAATAATATAAAAATGGTAGAAGCCACTGAAGCCCCATATAATTAGCAGGAAGCACTGCAACACCATAAACATGTCAGGGTGCACTGCAAACTGCAATCCCTATATATATGGCAGGATGCCCTGCAATCTCATGCAAATTCACATGCATGGCAGACTGCACTGCGATCCTATATACACGGCAGGAGCACTGCATTCCCATATACACGGCAGGAGCACTGCAATCCCACATGCACTGCAGAAGCAGTGCTATCCCACATCCATGGCAGGAGCACTACAATCCCACATACATTGTAGATGCAGTGCAATCCCACATACATGGCATGATGCAGTGCAATCCCACATACATGGCAGGATGCAGTGCAATCCCACATACATGGCAGGATGCAGTGCAATCCCACATACATGGCAGAAGTAGTGCAATCCCATATACATTGCAGGAGCACTACAATCCCACATCCATGGCAGGAGCACTACAATCCCATATACATTGCAGGAGCACTACAATCCCACATACATTGTAGATGCAGTGCAATCCCACATACATGGCAGGAGCACTACAATCCCACATACATTGTAGATGCAGTGCAATCCCACATACATGGCAGGATACAGTGCAATCCCACAAACATGGCAGGATGCAGTGCAATCCCACATACATGGCAGCATACAGTGCAATCCCACATACATAGCAGGAGCAGTGCAATCCCACATACATTGCAGGAGCACTTCAATCCCACATACATTGCAGGAGCATTGCAATCCCATACAAGGCAAGGAGAAAGCAATGGCCATAGTGTGTGCACGCTGACTTTCAGCACTCCCATAACATAGGGTATTATGATGCAGACACACCTTTTCCATATACTACGAGTCCTAGCATTCCACCATTGGAATACACTATACACAGATAACAGAACATATAACGGAAATACAGTAAGAAAGTCCCAGAATCCACAGACGGCAATGTATACAGTACATTGTGAATTCACTCAGTTATCAATGAGCACTGTATAACTCTGCTATACCAACCCCACCTTCATTACAAACGGACAACACATGACGGGGTTCGAACAAACACAAATATAGTACAACACAACTCCTTTGAAACAAACTATAAAACAAATAGTGCAAGTCAGTTCTGACAGAGTTGCTGTATTGAGGATAGAGCTGTAGGCCCATGCTCCCACGGCAGTGAGAAGGTTAAAGGATACGGTATCTCTTAGGGGGCATTACTGGGCATGGCTTCATTAATCACTTTCTCATACATCCTTTATACAAGATTCTAGAACTAATTACCTCGTCCCCACTTACAGGCTATGACAGCTAAACAGTGCACGCATTGCTCTCTGCCTACTACATGTCTCCCCTGTGATCACACACCCTATGCAATAGCACGGCTCTTACCCGTTAATGTGATTGTGCCAAGCATGGTCTTTCCTTCCGCTGGAGATTACTATCTGTTTCGATGGTATCCCTATGTTCACAGGCTCACTGTACTTTCCAAAGGGTCACTTCTATTGCCAAGAACAGACTGCAGATATAAAGTATAAGCAGGCAGAGGAGGAATGCAGTCCAGTAAGATCAGATCCCCAGCAAGTTGGAATAAAACAATTCACCAGCGTGGTCCACTCCTCTGCTGTTCTCTGTGGGATCTGTGAACTGAGAGGAAGGCTAAGCTAACATCCCCCTTTAATAACTTTGCTGGCAGAGTGATGACTGACTGAACTTCAACACACCTCCTTCCTCCAACCCCACCCTACAATGATCCATTGTCTGCCAGTCCCCCGACCCCATGGAGAGGACTTCAAATTGTTCTCAAACTGAAGGTGGCTTGGCTATGACTCATCCAAGCTTTGTATAAAGACCAATTGGTTCTTTCTCAGAATACAGAATTACCATGTGCTGATTTAAAGCATACCTTATCTTTTGAACTTTAACATTCCTTCCAGTTTTTTCCCCCTTTAAACCTCTGGGATTAACTAAATGTAAATTGAACTTCGCTTTTGTGCTCTCTTTCATTTAGCAAGTTGCTTTCACTAAGGATCACTTAAATCTTGTTAAAGGCAGAAAAAGTTTCCTTCCCCCATTTCTTTGTCATGCTATGTACACTTGTGCCAAATGGGAAAACAAATCTGCATATCTTTGTATTGTGATAAACTGATCTGCACATGAGAGGTTTATTCTAGTAGGACAGGATGTGACTAGTTAAGCATAAACCATGAACCAACTAATTTCTAGTATTTTCAGTTGAGCACACATTGAATCTTAAGCTTAAAGCAGCACTGTCTATTTCATCTTTATGAAATACTCATTTTGACTGTGTTGGAATTTCACTGAAATTCCAACCCAGTCAAGAGATATACTGAGACAAAATACTTCTCCCTCTGACTTTCTTAGACTCAGGGCAGAGTCTTGGAGTCAATCCAAGGAATTAGCTGTGTCTATGGAGGATCCCGCGGTCTCGTAGTATCCTCCAAAGACCTCAATGCTGCACTCTCGCACATGCGCTAGAGTACAGCAGTGATGTTGGCTTCGAACAGGACCCTGCCAGATCAAGATAGGTGAGGGCGAGGTTCAGGTAAGTAAATCTTACCTTTACCTTCCCACCCCTTCCCCAGCCACTGGACCCCCAGCAGCGATGTCACCATCAGGGGACCTTGCAAAAAACCATGACAATGCCACTTTAAGGTCACTCACTGTGTTATGAAGATGCTAAATTAAGTATATATTAAAACAAACTAGAATAACCTTTCCCTACCTTTAGTATATGACATGATTTTTCAGCCATATATAAAAACATTTGGTCAGACAGTGTTTAAAAATTGACAGTCTCTCTGGTCTTCCTTGCTTCACTCCATGCACAGAAACAGGTATACTAAATATATCGTAAATACTAAAAAATAGACTTGAGTTTATGTCTCGTTTTACATATATTTCATTTAAAAAAAGGTTTCCTTTGTAAACTTGATTAAAGGATTATTATACAAAAAAAAAAATAGTTTAGAGGTAACAGTTGTTGCTCTATAACCTCTTTAGACCGCTTTAGTGGTTATGTTTCCAGGAACCCTCCTTGTAAGCTTGCAAACCATTCTTAAAGGACCACTTAAGGCACCCAGACCACTTCAGCTTAATGAAGTGATCTGGATGCCAGGTCCCCCTAGTTTTAACCTTGCAGCTGAAAACATAGAAGTTTCAGAGAAACTGTTATGTTTACACTGCAGGGTTAATCCAGCCTCTAGTGGCTGTCTCCCTGACAGACATTAAAGGCCGCTTCCACGATTTACACTGAGTAAATCACACTTATCTGACGCTGGATTTCCTCACGGAGTCCAGCATCAGATAAGATGCTTTGAGTAATGCTTTGAGTAATGCTTTCCTACGGGCGGGTTTGCGCATTCGGCTCCACTCGGGAGCTGACGTTGACAGGGGAGGAGAGGTCACCAGCGCCGGGTTCGAGAGCCCGGTGCTGGATTAAGGTAAGTGGCTGAAGGGGTTTTAACCCCTTCAGTGCCGAGGAAGGGGGGCTCTCCAAGAGCCTATAGTATCGGGAAAATAGGTTTGTTTTCCTGGCACTATAGGATCCCTTTAAATGGGGACCAGTCCCCACCTCCACTATTAAAGGAACACTATAGGGTCAGGAACACAAACATGTATTCCTGACCCTATAGTGCTAAACACACCATTTAGGTGGCTTCCCCCCCCCACTTAGCCCCCCTATAAAAGTTTAAAACTCACCTTATTTCCAGGGTCGCGGGTCTGCCAGCACTGGTTCCGCCCCCTTTGTGACATGATCGAAATGTCCGATTTTTAGCCAATCCAATGCTTTCCCACAGGCAAAGCATTGGATTGGCAAATCCGCACGGGGGAGGGGCCAAATGCCGTTTTGGCCAATCAGGACCTCCTCATAGAGATGCATTGATTCAGTGTCTCCATGCAGAGTGTGAGGACGCTGAACGGAAGGGCTGCTTACTGTGCAGCACTGAGCCAGGAAGCACCTCCTTCTAAGGCCTTCTAAGGAGTGGCCACTTGGAGGTATCCCTCGGGGCAACAAAAAGGCAGTGTTTACATGAAAATGCCTGAAGTGAGCTATTATACTCACCAGAACAACTACATTAAGCTGTAGTTGTTCTGGTGGCTATAGTGTCCCTTTAAAGCTGGAGAGTCAGAGGTTCCTAAGCAGGAACTTCCATTTGTTTTCCCGAGCCAAGTCCTGCAATGCAGGCCTAGCTCACATGCAAAGCACTGATAAAAAAAATAACCAAAATACATTTTTTTTTATATAAAGTTGAAGGCATATTTCAATTAATAATTTCAGCCATTGGGTAAATAATATAAATAGCATGTTAGAACTTTAAATCCCACAGAATAGGTTGTGTTTTCATTGTTTATTCTACAATGCCACAAAGTGCACGCCTATAATAATTATACATAATAGTATTAATTACATTTTAGGGTGGCAGCAATATCACAGTACATGTAGGTATAAAGATAACTACAGCAATTTGACCACACCCCGCAGGAGCTTTCATTTTTCTCAGGTAATAATAATCGAATACATTAATGCTTTCATTACAATACTCTGTCTCTGTCTAAATGTGTCAAGACTAATATGTAATATTATATATGTAATAATGATCCACAGAATGAGTAAACATTTACAGACTGTATTAAGTATTTGAAAATGTATCTGGTTATTTGTTGGCAGAGTAGCCATGAACCCACCTCTATACATCATTTGTACAGCTTTCACTCTTTTATGTATTTTTGTGGAAGCGAGAGCAAATAAATGTTTGCAGAGTTTTGGAATGCATGGTAGCAGACGACACAGCTCTGTGCACAGAAGAGTATTATTATCAGTGTTTGATGCATGTGCAATGCTATCAGCGTTGCTCACAACATCAGTATCAAACACGGGTACTTGTATACAGCAAGGTGAGTGGGCAATTATTGGAGCTTGAACTTTGGGAAGACATCTATCTCTAAACCTATATTTGTCTTTTGTTTTGTGCTAGGTTACATCAAACACTGCTTGGAAGATAGTATAACACAGCAAAGTACCTCTCAGAGAGTTGTCTCCACATCTAGTAACTCCACAATGCTGCACACTCACTAAAGAGTGAATTATCTGAAATGAAAAATAGCCAACTTGGAGAAGTTTTAAAATCCCCCCTGGATTTCTAACAACTAATAACTGCTAGTGTCACATTAATGGATGCTGAAAGGGGTGAATAAGTACCTGTGATGAAAAAGTAATGGACATCCTGATTTTTTTTTAACATTCCAGACCCTTACTGTATAGAGATACACCTTCCCTTTCTCCTTCTAAAGAAATATGGGTTCCTCTTATGCAGCTGTGTGGCTTCTAGAACACAAATATTTGTCAGCTTCTAAATAGAGGAAATATCCCGTACATATTTCACACTCTGAACAAAACAATGGTCAGCTTCATCTCAACTTTCTCCATCCGGTCCTCTCCCTATTTTTTGGGGTATGTAGAGTACAGTGATTCATAACCTATTGAGCAAATTTAATCATTATGGTATTATTTCCTGCTATTCAATCTTAAACAACTTCCTCGAAAGACTGGGGATTCTAAGAATATAATCTTGGAAGCCCAAATGTATTAGTAATTACTTTTTTAATTTTTTTTTTTTTTTTTTTATTATCAGTGAACTATATCTTTTAAAAATAACAAATACATAATTTAAAATGGAAGGGTGATGTTTTAGGCAGCTCTGTCAGTTCTCAGTATTTCATAAAGATATAACCTTTATGAAATACTAATGCTGACTGTGTTTGAATTTGATTGAAAGTCCAACAAAATCCAAAGATTCCATAAGACAAAGAAAAATTTGCCTTTTGGTGAACCTGAAGTTGACAAAAGGTGGAGCTTCACTACCAAATTCTGTCCAATCCCAGCAGCCGTCACAAATTGTAGGATTCAGGCATGGTCTCGCTCATTACAAGATGTCATCTATGGAGGTGTTGTTCTCATGCACATGCAAAATGTGCAAAAACCAAGAAGTGACAAATTCACTTTAAGTAATGGAACATAATGTGCCAATAGCCATTTGGCAATAAAGTTAATGCATTTTAATTGGCATGGTTCTGATCAGGTCAGATACATGACTTATACTGGGGTTCACTTTAGGTTCATTATTAGAAAGCTTTGACATGGTTAATCTTGAAATAATAAGAGTAGCAGGACTTAAAGGGAAGTGGAAAAAATAAAGAAAAAGGGAGAAAGTAGAACCTATAAATGAAATTACAGGTAAGTTTATTGAGGGCTATAAAATAAAGAGTTTATACAATAGGCCCCAGATAAAGTAGCAGGAAACCCTGTAAGTGAGATTATAGGCAGAAGGTGGAAGAAGAACCTATAAACAAAATTATAGGCAATAGTAAGAAGGAGTACCTAATTATAGGCATTAGGCAAGTATATGGAGAGATAATAGAAAACAAGAATTAGCCAATATGCCCCAGACAGGGTCTTTCAGGATAGTTGCAAATAATTGGAATGTTTGTAATTTCCAGGTAAGTTGCGTTGTTTCCGATAGGTGTACAGTAGGTTAGAACCAAAGCAATAAGGAATAAAAGTCCAATTTGGAATAAAGCAGGTTAGTATTGAAGATCAGGTTTTTTCCCAAACCTATTGATATCAAGCAGGTTGTAAATAAAGCAGGTTGGTAGTATAAATAAGGTTGGTTCAACGGTATTCAGAGTAATGCAGGCTTTCTCAGTATGAGCCAGGATCAGATGTCTTGTCAGAATCAGAACATGAACTTCAATGAATGTAAAGCAGGGCTTGACAAATCTGTTAGGAATCTAGGAGCCAGCTAAAAAAAAGTTAGGAGCCAGTTTTTTTTTTTTTTTTTTTAAACTAGCGAAGTTTATTTAACGAGAAATATACCATTCTTAAAGGGACGCTATAGTCACCAGAATCACTACAGCTTAATTTAGTTGTTCTGGTGCCTGTACCCTGTCTCTGCAGACTTTTCAATGTAAACTGCCTTTTCAGAGAACATACACACTGACAGACACACACACACACACACACACACACTGATGGAGAGACACACACACACTGACGCAGAGACACACACACACTGACGGAGAGACGCTCACACACTCTGACAGGGAGAGACGCACACACACACTGACAGGGAAAAAGAGAGACACACACTGACAGTGAGAGACACACACTGACAGTGAGAGACACACACATACTGACAGAGACACACACAGTGACAGGAAGAGACACACACACTGACAGAGAGAGACACACACAAAAACACACACAAACTGACAGACACACACATACACACATACTGACAGAGAAACACATACACACACGCGTACTGATAGAGAGACACACACAGACAGAAAGACACACACACAAACATACATACACAAACGGACATGCATTCACACACACACACACACACACATTTTCCATTTTAATTTGAATCCACCCAGCCCCCCTACCTTTGGGAGAGCTGAGTGGAATTTCCCTGGGGTCCAGTGGGGCTGTTCGTTCATCCTGCGTGTGAGGCAGCAGTGATGTTTAAGCGGCTCCTCTCTGCTCCCTGTAATCATGCCGGGGCCAGAATGACATCAGAGAGGAGCCACTTGAAGATTACTGCTCCCTCATGCGCTACGCCAGCCGACCACAGCGATGCTCCGCAGACTGGCCACCTGCACGCTGCTTTAGGCGGCCACCTCCACGCTCCCTGAGCCGGCCGTCCACGCTCCTCAGGGTGACCGGCCGGCTCCATTGTTCCCTTATCCTGCCTAGCTAAAGGGCTTCAAATCCCAGTCGCCAGGGTAAAATTTCTAGTCGCTATGGCGATCTGGCGCCTGGGATTTGTCGAACCCTGATGTAAAACATTATTTTGGTTGTCAGGATAGGATCCTGACATTAATGTCTTTAATTTGTTTAATTTAGACCATTGTTTTTAATTCTCAGATCAAGACCCAAAATTCAGTTCCCATTTTTTTTTTTAGTGGTTACCCAATATGCATTATATTCATCAGGCCCAGGACAACTGCCTGCTATAAAATGGTTACTGAAGCAGTTCTGCCTTCTTAAGTGCAAATGAGATCACTTTGACACTGATAGCAATGCCATGTGTGGATGTTGGGTCTCTTTCAAATAAAGTTTAAGAACCACCTGCTTTAGAAGGAGAAAGTTTACATTTTTACATCTACACGCTTTATAACATTGCCTGCACTTTATTTAAGTAGGTGATATTTGAACAACCATGTAGGTAAATAAAAGATAGCAACTGTGATTCTTTTTTTCACAGTGAAAATCAACCGCCAGTGCTGCCTGAAATTAGTGGGAGTTACAGTTG